GCAATTCTTAAAGCACGAAAAAGCGGGAGTAAAAAGATGGAGGAAGTACTTTTGAAAAGGTATTGATCGTTGAAATAGGAAAATTTATGGACAAGAAAATAAAAAATTAGCGGCATCGATAAGAATTTGAGGCTCAACGATATTCCAGTAGAATTCAGAGAATTTCCACGAAGGAAATATGCTCCCAGATCTCTAGGCATTTGTAAATTATAAATGGTGAAAATATGAGATCTTGAACATTAAATTAAAAAGAATTTTTCATTTCTGGACAGAAAATTTTACTCCGTCTAAAATGTCGAGTTATGGTGCTAAGTTTAACCAAATTATCGTACTTTTTAAATTTATTTATTCGACAATACGGTTCAATTTAGCACCTTAATAAGGTTTCAATAAATTGTAAATAGTGTTTTAGTTCAACGTTAAATTGATTTTTCTAAGATTGCATGAAAAAGGATTTTATATATATAAGAAAAAAAGGAAAATATAAACAAGTGTTTTCCTCTGAAATATCAGTAACCTTAATACGGTGCTAAGTTTAACCAAATTATCGTACTTTTTAAATTTATTTATTCGACAATACGGTTCAATTTAGCACCTTACTAAGGTTTCAATGAATTGTAAATAGTGTTTTAGTTGAACTTTAAATTGATTTTTCTAAGATTGCATGAAAAAGGATTTCATAAAGAAAAGAAAAATAGGAAAACATAAACAAGTGTTTTCCTCTGAAATATCAGTAACCTTAATACGGTGCAAAGTTTAAGCAAATTATCGTTCTTTTTAAGTTTGCTTATTCGATAATATAGTTAAATTTAACATATTAAGGTTGCAGCTAATTATAAACCGTATTATGATTCAACGTTAAACCGATTTTTTTAAGAGTGCATGCATAAGTGCAAGAAAAACAGTTTCAGAAAGTTCGAAACTTAAACTTGCATTTTATAATGGAAAAAATTGGAAAACATAAGCAAATCTTTTTATTTTATTTTATAACCGTCGTTGAACATTCGACCTAATTTTGGGTTTACGACTATCAATGTTTACCTCTGTAGCCTTGTAATTTCAAACCCAATCCAGAAGACAAGGGAACTCCTGGATCAAGTATTGGAAGAAATTTGACTTCGAGGAGGGAAATTTTGATGGAACTAACCCGTTTTTGTGGTACATGAAGAAGAAAAACACGAAAACCTTCCACTGTTAGCCCGACTGCAAGGGGACTCCAACACATGATCCGTCTACCACTGAGGACATTTCCTTTCAGCATTGCGGACGGCGCGAGCCGGGTGCGAAATTTGTATGAACCAACAATAGCTGGGATTCGAATCCAGCTCACCACATTGTTAGGTGAGCGCTCTATCCCCTGAGCCACCATAGCACAGAAGTCTTTTTATTTAGAATGTAAGCAACCTTGATATGGTTCTTTAAGCAAATTATCGTACTTTTTAGACTTGTTTGCTTGATATGGTGGATTTTAAAATATTATTAATATTGCAGAAAATTGTGAAACGTATTATAGTTCATCTTTGAACTGATTTTTAAAGAGTGCATACATAAACTCAAGAACAAACGTCTTAGTGCTGGAAACTTAAACTTTAATTGTATAAAAGGGAAAAAATAGGATTACATAAACAAGTCTAATCATCTAGAATGTCAGCAACCTTAAAACTTTAATATGGTGCTATGCTTAAGCAAATTATCGTACTTTTTAAACTACGGTTCAATTTAACATCTTATTATGGTTATAGCAAATTGTGAACCGTGTTCTGTTACAACAATGAGCCGATTTATCTGAGAATGTGTGGATACATGCAATAACAATCGTTTCAGAATGTTCGAAACTTAAATTTTAATTTTCTAAAGGAAAAAATATATGAAAACATAAAGAAGTCTCTTCATCTGTAATATCAACAACATTAATATGGTGATAAGTTTAAGAAAATTATCATACTGTCAACTTGATGATATGGTTCAATTTAACATCTTAATAAGGTTACAGCAGCAAACCGTATTCTGTTACAACATTGAGTTGATTTATCAAAGAGTATATGCATAAATGCAAGAACATTCATTTCAGAATGTTTGAAATTAAATTTTAAATTTTATAAAGTAAAAATAAAATGAAAAACATAAGTATTTTCGTATGAATAAGAAAATATTTGTGTGAAATTTTCGGTTCATTCTTATAAGATGAACTTTGTCGTTTCCTTAAATGAAAGTTATGATTTTTTTAGATAATTACATAACCTTTAGATAAATACATTGACATTGTTTATTGTTTCATTAAATCACAGATTAGTAATTTATAATGCTTTTATAACATCATTTGTAGCATGATTTTCAGCTGTTTTTAACTTCCTTCTTTGTGGGTTTCAAATAATGAAAAACTCAATCGATTTTCTAGCATTATAGGACAAAACACGTCCTTAAGTAAAACGGAAGGTCAAGTAAAATAATTTTTGTTTTGGATACCTTGATATCTAATATTCGCTTGTGACTTATTTATTACAATAGATTTGTTTGGAAAAATTGAAAATTAATTACAGCTTTGTTGAATAAATAAAAAGTATTTAATAAAACATTGTTTTGAGAATATTTTTCTCGTTTGAAAAATGTGTTTTAATCTTTAGAGGGTAAATAAAAGAATTGAACTTATATACCTGTAATACTAAAGAGCATTATTTTTAAGGAATATTTTTTTAAATATGACAATACACACAAATTAGATATTTTTTTAAATAATAAATAACTCTAAACTTTTGTGCTTTAAAGAGATTTGATGAATAAATAAAAATTAATTAATAAAACATTGTTTTGAAAATATTCCTCTCGTTTGAAAAGTGTGCTGTAATCTTTATGTTATTAAATCTATTGAATTTATATACCTGTAATACTAAAAAGTATCATTTTTAAGGAATATTTTCTAAAAATTGACAATACACACAAATTCATATTTAAAAAAATAACTCTAAACTTTTGATTTATTTAAAGAGAACTGTTAGAATATTTTTATTAAAATCTTTATTTGGAAATATTTGCCTAGTATGGAAGGAGCTGTTCTGAAAAATCACCTTAACAGTATCGGGATTATATTGATTTTTTTTCCTATTTAGGTAAGAGCTATCATTAAAATAATTTAAATTATATATATANTATATATATATATCAAATTTCAGGTTTGTAGTAGCAGTATGTTTGAAGAAAATATATAATATATCTGTATGGAAATTTGTAGTTTTGTGGGATGGAAGATACCAAAAGAACGGGTAGCAATGTTATCCAAGAGTTCATAAAATATATAAAAATACTTCTAATGAAGCTACAATAAGACAGAAAATTATTTTAGGATTTGTAAAATCTAAACTTTATTTCGAAAAAGAAGCGTAATTTTTGATTTAAAAAAAAAGTGACTTCGCCATTGAACCATTGGACGCAGATGGGACATTGGCGTCCCTTTTATATACATTATTTCTGACTCTCTAATTACAAGCTGAAATATATTTTGGTATTTTTTTAATTGTAAAAAACAATGTAATAGATTCTAAAAAAAATATGTCAGATCATCGGAATTATATTTGTACTAGCTAAAATATAAAATCCAGAAAAAGAAGTTAAATTTTTTTTTTCATTCATGTTTAAAAATTTATCAATAATTGACTTTGTAATAAAACGTAATTGTAATTTCTTTTAGAACTAAATAACTGCAAATTAAAAAAAAATTGTTTGGAAGTGAGCCTTGTTTGGAAGATTTTACCTCTAACGCAAAAGAAATACCGATGTTTCAATGTTGTATTTCCTAACCATAAATTATTAAAATGCTAACTATAATATTTTTTACTTATTTTGACCTAAATTTATACAAAATAATGAAAAGTATGAAAAATATGTTAACCAAGCTGTTCAGACTATTTAAAATGTAAATGAATTTGCGCATAAGTCAATCTTTTCTTAAAATTCATCGAAGAAAAATGTCTAATCTCAATATTTATAGATCTGATTTATTACGACAAGATTGCAAAGGAAAATAAAAAAAAAATTAATCTCCAATGAAGCAGATTTTAAGATGTATATTTCTTATCGCTTTAATTTTTCTTGTCCTTACACGCTTTCTGATAATTGTTGAATAATGTGCAAATCAGTTTACTTTTTAAGTAATCTGAGCAGCATTGAACTTCGAATTCAGAATTTCTGCAGAGCTCCGACTTATATTCAATTAAAATGTTCATCGAATCTCTGGAAAATAATAAATACTAAGTGGTAGTTAATTTCAAATGATATATTTCTATTTTTTTTCGTACAATTAAAATAAAAACATATTATTTAAAATTAAATTTTGTATTACAGCATAACAGTTGAGGAAATAAATTTTAAAATGAAATTTTTTAAAAAAAAAGAAAAAAAAAGAAAGAAATTGTGCGAAACTATTATAAAAAAAGAACTAAATACATTAACATATCATAAGCGCATGCATAAAAATCTTATGGCAAGCATATTGTTTAGTGAATATTCATGAACTGCAAAACTATTAGCGAGTTTCATTAAAATCATTTTCACATACATTTTTAAAGTAACTTAGTAATTTAGCTAAATAAATTTGGTTTTTGAATTTATAAATTTAAGTGACAACAGATTAATTATTCATTTATTAATATCGATTTTTTAGTTTAAGTAATTTAATAGTTTTAATGATTATCCGCGTTCTTTTTCAATTGTTCGGTTATACATGGTCATAAAAGCGTTCAAATGTGATTTATTAAACTACCTTTAAGGAATAATTCAAATAATTATCATAAAATTTATTCGATAATATTTTTGTTTACATCTAACTTTTATCTACCCGGGGTCTGAGTCGAGCAAATATTTTCCTACTCCAAATCCTACAAAATTTGCTTTGCCTCCAGCAACACGACTCCAATTCCTGACATAACAAGGTGTGGAGACTTTCCCAACTGGGAAATATTGCTTACGGTTGGCGAGTGATTTTGCTAGAGTAAAAATGACAAAGATTTAATAATGATACTTTATTTTGCACACTATTATTACACCAAGTGGTAGAAACGTACAAAGAAATACATTCCACCTGCCGATCATATGAGATGTGGAATGTACAGGGATGTTATACTGAGGTCCTGACTAGGCACAATTTTCGGCAGATATGTAGCATGACTTCTAAAAAAAAAAAAGCTAAAAACAACAAGCTCTAAATATAAAAAATTTTTCGATAAAAAAGGCTACACACTTTTCTAGGAACACACTTTGTCATATAAGGCACCCTACCCAAAAAACATCTCCATATTACCTATGGGAAAGGAACAACCAATATACTATTTATACTTTCAGTGAAAACAATATTATAAAGCTTTATCCGCTAAGAGCAATAAGTACTTCGATCTAAATAGCCCACCATCTATACTGAAAGACTCATTTTTAATTAGCTATAGCACCAACAAATTTCATCAACTGATGAACTACTTTTAATTAAGCAGCACTTCATCAATCACACTTAAACGTTATACGAAGTACTTACGGTTGCACACAGTTTGTGGTAGCAATTTCTTTATAAGGCAATTTGGTTTTTCTAAAACTATAACATAGTTATCTATACAAAACTAAGAAAATAAAATAAAAACAAATGTAAATTTAATATCATATGACTACAAAGAAACAGAATTGAGTGGCTATTAACATTTCAACCATTCTAATTCAAATGGAATCACAAATTAGACATTAACACAGAAGTTTTGGATTTCATACACACTAAAATACATTTTAAATATTTTAACATAATATAGAACTTTTTCAACAATGGATAATCTATATTCTATACATACTTTTTATGAGCAAATTCAGAGTACTCAGATAACAAATACGTACTTGTTGTATTTAATAACAAAGACAAGGAAACAAAAGACTTAAGAGTGTAAATTTTAACATCAATTACAAGCAGTTGTCTAATTGATTGATTGATTATTTAAAACAGAATTCGATACTACAATGTTTTTTTTTTATAGGGGGTGAGAGAAAATAGTTTTTCAAAATAGCGGTGGAACTAGTAAATGATAAGAAAATGTTTATAAACAGAACAGATATTTATTTAAAAGGATTAAGAAAGTTATAATTGATATAAAAGTATTGTTTGCTACACAATGAAAATTTTTTTGGCGTTCTAAATCAAAATATTTTTCAAATTTGCTCCTAAAAGTTGAACCAAATAATTGTCGTAAACTTGAATGCACGATACTATGGTACAACTTGATCGTAAATATGGTTCAATTTTAAATTTTATTAAGGTTGCTGCAAATATACACCGTATTACGGTTCACTATTGAACTGATTTTTCTGAGAGTGTAACATAACGAGAAATAGAGCTTCGAGCTACCTATGGTCAATAAAAAATGGCCAGTTCTGTGGTCATTTCCTATAATGGTCCTTTTATGGTCAATTCTATTAATGTTTAATTCCTATAGGGGAAGTGGACATTATGTATAAATATATATTTTCTTAAAAAAAAACAGAAAAACTTTTACTAAAATTGCCAGAGAACATATTTAGCGTATTGTAATAACCTTAATACAAAATATATCGTCGAATTTGACGAGAAATTCTTTGTAGTGTCAAACCTATATCAACCTATATGTGAAATTAAACCTATATCAATTTATCTAATCCGATAAGAAAATTCTAAGATTTTTGAATACGAGTGCGCTATACTGCGTCATGCTAGAGAAATAATGAGCATTTTTGCTAAAATTTTTAAGAGGAAAAAATGAAATTTATGCAATATTTTTAAATCAAGCTTTTTTGACGTAGTTTGAATTTTTTTTTATTTTTTCCCATTCAAGGAGGGAAAAAGTATGCATAAATTGTGGCTAAAATCATTTACGATAATTTTGAGTAAAAAAAAAGCTAAAACCTTCTGCGAAAAAAATTTTCTTTGCTCATATAACACAGCATGAAAAAGGCTTTCAAAATTTTTCTACAAAACAAAATGCTGAAAAAGGCACATGTAATAAAATTGAATTGAATTATAAAATATCACAATACTAATTCTACATTTGTGGGACGTGGAAAGCTGGACGTAATGATAAGACTTACATCAATAATCGAGAGGAAATAGTTTTGTTTCATATGATAAATAAGGTGTACAAACAATTTTATATTATCTCTTTTATATTAAAGGGGGAGTTTAAATACTATTTTAGCTCCTCACCTCTTGTTAAAAGTATGATTAATTTCTTACGTAATCTCACATATTCTTACCTAAGATTTTAAATTTTAGCAATAATAGTCTAATTTTGAATTTGTACCAGCAAAATTTACTTTTCATTAATTTTCTTCAGAAGAATATTTTTAAAAAGTTTTTCCCCCAATTTTTTTAGAGTGTTAATTCTTTCTAAATTTGATATTTTTGCAATTTGTAAAAAAACAATTTGACCAGAAAAAAAGGAATTTAGTATTTAGTGCCTTACGTAAGCTTTGCTCAAACGGTTTCTTTCAGTGTTAACAAAAACAAGAAAACTAACTCCCCTTGACCCTTAGACATTTGCATATATTTGAACGGTCCCTGTTCACTATTTACGGTTGAAATAAAATTACTTTTTCGCTAATAAACTATTAAAAGGGGATTTTCAACATACATTTTTAAGGAAAAATATTTTTGTTGTTGTCATTTTTAATTCTATAAAATAATGACCGTAGCGGTTTTAAAACCTTGCACGTCTTGCAGTATTCAACAATCCATGCGATGTCATTGCCTACTTTTTATCTAAAACATGAAAAATAAATCAATTTAAGCGTATTATAGTGTCGTTTTTGTTAGAAAGCAAACATTTCAAACTAAATACTTGCTTTTCACTAAAAAATAACAAGCTAAAGTTTTAATTATAAGAAATTCAAATATTGATATTTCTAAAAAAGCATCCATAAACTGTAAAATTATTATATACAATTGCAATAATAATAATATAAAAGAGGTTGACTGTATTTTAACACTGTATCAACAGAGATAATCATACATTCAGCAATCTAATTTTGATTCTCATTCGAAAATTGTATAATAATTTTCCCCATTCCCATATAGCTTAGTAAAATGAAATAGTGGTAGAAAATCAACGTTAATGTTTATAAGAATTTCCTTTTTTAAAATACCATCTTAATGTCTGCAGGGCTTGTACGACTTAGTTTTCATACAGGTGTATTCATTTTACAAAATGACATATTGTGGTGGCCACAAATATATTATACGATCGAGGATTTTTACCACTATTACATTTTACAAAACCAAGAGGAAACTTTTTCTCCAGTATAAACTTCATTATTATACAACAAACGTCTATATTCTAAATTCATTAAATTTCAAAATTTATGCATGAAGAAATGCTGAAGAATATGATTAGCAATTTTAAAAGTTAAAGGATCTTTTACCAGTCAGGTAAAAAACACTATAGATAATTTCGTAGTGTATATTCGATTTTTCTGTTCTGTTGGCGGTTTTTTTAAAATGTTTTAACTTTGCTATACGTTAATTTAACAAAAAGCAAACATAGGAATAAATATTTAATACACAGTAAAATAGTTGTTCATACATTGACATCCTAAGTATGATCATTAACATTCATTAAATGCTGCATTTTTTTACAATGAAAAATTTTCCTCTTGATATGATTTTTTAAAAATTATAATTAAATATTTAAAAATTATATATACATTTGACAAATCATCTGTGCAATAATGCATACATAAATACGAGATAAAAGGTTCTAAATACAGCCAGTGAGATAAAAATAAAATTTTTTTGGCTCATAAAAAGAATAAAGTCCCTTATATGTAAACATTTTGCGGTCTCATTATAGCCATCACCGGTTCTCATTTACTGGGAATTTTAGCTGTTAAGTGCTTCATTTTAAATCATAATACACAACAAAAATAAATTCACGATTAAGAGTAAGAGAAATATAATTTGTCTACGGTAAAAGCTCCCCCTGCCGCAAAGTCTGAGGCCATTTGTTGCTATGGGAACAAGAATAGCGCATTTCAGGGAGGGTAGCTTTTCTTCACTCTAGGGCAAACACAATAGACCGTTGAAAAAGATTCCCTTTCTCCGGCCCACCAGAGCCAAAACCTGTCCTAAACAGTAACCCCACACCCCTACTTGAAATAGTTATACCTCGTTTCCATAGTCACCACCACGGGTCCAGACGAATGGCTAGAGGAGTTCTTACTTTAGACAAACTATATGTGAGACAAGTTATTGGTATAAAGTCTTTGCTTATACAAAAGTCCCAAGTTCAAACCTCAGTTTTGACTTCACCACATCGTTGGTAAAACAAATTTCTAGTACCCACTTCCTACTAGTATCGCTCAAACTGGGAACATGTTTGCTTAGGTTTTCCTCGCATACGCGGGAAATTTTTTCTGTTTATGAAAGTTTGTTAGGTTCAAAATTATAAGTTAACCGACTAAATGTTAAGTCACACGACATACGGTAATTTATTACCGATGAAATAAAAGAAAAATTTAATGTTTCAATATAAAAATTAACTTATTAAATACTATATTAATCAATGTCTTCTTTAGGTGAAGCTTTTTGAATCTGTCGGAGGAGTATTAGATGATTTCATGACATGGTGAGTCAATTATTAAAAAAATTAAACTTATAATAGCACTTTCTAAAGTTTAGAGGCTGACAGAATTTCTAGACATACTGGCATAGCGGTTGACTTTAAAATTGCTAGACATACTGAGAAGAATAAAAAGTAGTTAATGCCAGATTCCATAAACTTAGATAATTAAATGGCATAACCTGCTTTGAGAAACAAATTTTGTGGGATTCTATGCAATGATCAATTTGATGATAATTCGAATAGAGTTTTAGATTTTAAATAACTAAGTGATAGTGTTTTTTTTTAGGATACTACGCCAAACTGTTGCTCTATTGCAGTTTAACAGCTATTTAATAAACTATTTTGTCAAAAATGGAAGACAAGAATGAAATCAGCGTTTAGATGAAATAAAAAAATGCTAATAATATTTTAAAAATACTTTTCTTTTAGTTTTTGATTGCTTTGGACTTAGAATGACACGATATGATCATTAGCAAAATCTTTACACAGTTTTTTTCTCTTCATAATTTTTCAATTGATAAGAAAAGAAAAATTTCCTTTTCATGGATAGTTTTATAATAATACTATTATATAATATGTGTGGTAAAAATAAAATTCAAGAAATTCCGAAATAGGAACTTCGAAATTAAATTACATTCAAAAGAGAAAGTTTGCTTGTTGTTACACCACATCATATATATAGACTAAGCCACCGTTTGTTTAAAGTTGACTAACAAAAATTATCGTAGTATTGGTTTCGACTAACTATCGAAAATGACGGTTTAAAAAAAAGGCGAAATGAAATTGTGTTTGATAAAACATTAAATAATAGCTGTGTTTTATTTACATATCTAACAATTGTTGTGGTGAAAAATGAATCTATGTAGAAACTTAATCTCGTCGTTAATGCTAAATTTTGAAATATCATATGAAGGCTACGATTCGATTCTCATTTCTTTTCTTTAATTCTTTAATTTATTGATTGGCTATCGGATTTGTCTTCCAATGTTTAATTATATAATGAATAACATTAAAGTTGTATAATCTTGGTATTATCAGTTGGCATCATATTTATATTATCATTTTTTATCATATTTATAAAGTCATTTTTTAATCATTTACATAATCATTTTTATCCTGTTTATTAAAATTTTTTAAATTCATTATCATATTCATATAACGTGGGTACTTGAAAAAAATAAATGCTAGTTTGTTTGTTTTAAATTGATTATGATGATCAGTGATGTGAAGATGGTCTATCCTTACAAAAAAAAAAAAAATAAAAAAAATAAAAATAAGGTGCTTTTAAGGTTGTTTATTTCCAAAAATAACCTCATTATTCAACCTAACAAAATCAACCTCATATATAACTCAAAACAACCTCAAGTGCGAATAAAACAACTTCATACACCTTGATTATATACCTTGGAAGGTAAATCTTTTAGGTTGTTTTCAAAATCAACCTCGAATGAACCTCAAATAAACCTTGACACCTCAAAACAACCTCAAAATTACCTTAAATTTCTGCTAGGGTATTAGCTTGGAGCAGCAATTTTTTAAAAGTAATAATTATACTTTAATCAAGCTGTTTATAACGCTTTAAATAATTTGATTAATGATACAATGATGATTAAAATTCTTTTATTTCCCACTTGCGCACATAAAAAAATAATTTCTAGGAAAAGCCTAGAAAAATTTTGTGAAAAAATATGTTTGAGTTGATTTGCTAAGTTGCATGAAATTTATTTATTTTGGAGCAGTTTGGAACACCGCTTAAAGGAATTGGAACAGGTTAGGAGTAAGAGATAGTAAAAAAAAACTGATTTTGAAGTAGTGCGACTATAAGTTGGATGGTAACGGTAATCATGTCATCCGCGTGATTATTCGACTAGTCATTTCAATGCTAGAATATTTTACCGTAATTTACCATTGGAAAGCTTTTTCAAGACAAACAATAGAAAAAAGCTTTCGCCACGTGAGGATTGTAGCTCGTAAAGACAAATTAAAAGTTTGAAAATAAAGTCTAATATAATAAGGATAATGGTTTCGATGGAATTTAGAGAAAAAAAAAATTTTTTTTTTCTAGAGTTAATCTATAAAAGTTAAAATTTTTTCTTTTGAGCCAGAATTAAGTTATAAAAGCTAGTCCAAAAATATTCAGATTTTTTTAAGGATTAAATTATAATATATTATTGGATGCCATATACGACATTATTTAAAGCTGCCTGACGTCCGGGAGCCCGGGTTTTGTAGCACCCAGATTTTTGTGTTATATAGCTCATTTTGGTCAAAAGTAATAGTGGGGAAGACTGAGCAGAAATTAATAGTATTTTTTAAAATTTTACAAAAAAAATATCTCTAATTCATTAAGGTTTTCATAGAAAACAGAAAAAAAGTTTTGCACTTGGGAGAAACATTTACGCTGTATTTCGCCGGGTAATAAAAAGATCAGAGTAACCGACAAAAAATAAAAAATTGAGATTTCTATATATTTGGCAGTTTTGTACGAAGATTGCGAAACTTTTTAAATAAATTTCCTGAAATTATTATATTTTAACTTTGATAGTATTAATAAGGGAAAGAATATAGTTCTCACGATAAACTACGCATTGCAAACTTTTTTAAATCAATTTTCTGAAATTATATTTTACCTTTGATAGTATTAATAAAGGAAAGAATATAGTTCTCACGGTGCTTTTTTCGAAATGCATGAAGCAGTCACTTTGTTTTTCCGATTGCACGGCAGTATTCATAGCACGAAATCGTGTTTTTCAGATTGGACAAAAATAGGGAGCATTCAAGAATTGTATATTACTTTGAGATACACTTTTTATTCAAGTACGTTACCACTTTTATACGTAATTGATAGTCTTTTTTCAATAATTTTATATAATTTATCACCTAATAATTTTCCAAATTTTAACTTTCAAGGATACATTCAGGAAAGAAAATTTGCCTACATACTTCAATAGGTAATTGATTCAAAAATTGTTGCTTTAGTTTAGTTATTAAATGCAGAATTTTGTCGCCTACTTTACACACTTTACTTAATTTTGTTCCCATGTTTCGCTATCTTTGAGGGGAAAAAAGTAATAATTTTATATATAATTTCTAAAACATGCACAATAAATACCGGTAACAGACCATAAGGTAACTTTTTATAATATTTGTAAAAAAAGGAAGAAAAAAATTGCTTACATTTTGAATTTTTTCAAAATTAATATTGAATATACGAATTGTCTGCAAGTTGTAAAATCTAGCCACATTCATGAATTTAAAATTTAATACAAAATGAGACATGCAAGCTTATTTTGAGGGATAGAAGTGATTTCTTCAAAGGGAATTTTATGAATTTTTGTAGTATATTTAGAACATATTTCTGTTTAGTACAAATTGAATTCATGCTTGTCTATAGACATTTTGTTATTTCTATCATAAAATTACCCAATACATTTTTTGAAGTAATTGCCGTGCTTCATATTTATAGCTTGAATAATAAATGACGTCACCAGTCTCAAGTTGTGTTATATCTTGACCATTCCAACGAAAATAAATAAACTTAATTTTTGGTGAAATGAATTTCTAATAAGAAAAAACGTAATTTAAAACAAAACCTGAATAGTTAATTTATCATAAAAAGAAGTTACACCCAGGATTATTATCCTTTACGTTGACTATTAATTGAATGTCTTTTTAAGAGTTTCATTCAGAGAAATAAGTTGCCCATTATATGTGTATAAAAAGTAAAGAAGTAAAAAATATTTAAATAAAAAATATGATCATATCAAGAAAAATTATTTTTTTTAAGAAAAAAGAGTTTATGATTTTTTATAGTTTCTTGATAAATAGAAAATAAATATAAAAACATGTCTCTCTAGCATAAAATCTTCATTATAAATCTAAAATACTCATAACTAAATTGTAAAGTAATTATAAAATTATTTCAATAAGAACCTCATTAAATTTGAACTCTTTTCGATACTCACTACTTTCCACAATACAAGAAAAAAAAAGAAAAAAAAAAAAGAAACTGCTACGTTAGAAGAGTCTTGAAGCTTTAGTTCTCATTTAACAGTAGGATTTAAAACCAATCTTTCTTCTTTTGCATAACTATGAAGAATTATTCCAACATTCAAACTTTCAGTTCAATGAGCATTAAAACAGAAACTTAAAATATTTATTCATCAACGGCAGTGATTTTTGTTTGAAATAATATTTCTAGACAAACTTTGTCTTTTAGAAGTCATTTTAAGTCAAAGAAATGATCAATTATCAATAAACGAAGACATTGTTCTGAGTCTTGAAAGTATCACATTTGACAGTATCTAATCATTTCGCTTTTTCTTCAAGGTATAATATGCTGCAATTGCTAATTTCTCTTTAAAATACCAAACCACATTTATATCTTTAAAGATTCAATGTAATAATGATTAAATATTTGAAATCGAGTTAAAAAACAAGTTTTAAAAATAAAAACGACAAGAATGATATTATGAAAGATTTTCTTCTCCTTTAAGGCACTCAAAGTTCATAAATCTAAACTTTTCTGACGCAATTGTTGATCACGAAGCTCACAAGCAACGTCCACAAGAATATAAAGGTAATGCAATGAGTTATCGGGTGTTGTGGATGATGGCCATGCTTCTGGAATTGAGTTTCGAGAACTAGGTTGGCTTGAGGTTTCTCCATCAACAGATGATTCAGTAGGATCAGGTTGAACAAGCAACTCTTGCTCATGCGTCCTCCGCCATCGTTTAGTGAGTTTCAAATGACAACCTTCTTGCGAAATTTGTGAAGATGATGTAGATGTCGAACTGTTATCAGAATCCTCACTATCTGCATCAATGTCAGTAACACTATCGTCTGTCATCGAATTACTATTGGACACAAGTGAACGACTGTAATTATTGGATCGGTTATTAGAAGATGATGTTGGCACGGATCTTGGAACACCATTTCTTCTCGTAATTGTGTACTGCAGGGGGTCGTGGCCTTCTCTTCGAATAATGTCTGGCAAAATACGCCGTCTGGCGTTAATGAACCAGTTGCAAACTTGGAGAGTCGTTAATTTGGCATCCTCGGCTAATTTCACTTTTTCTTTTTCTGATGGATAAGCACTATATCTATGCTCATACAGCCACATGCGTAAAATACGAACAGATTCTTTGGGAAGATTGCCACGTCTTTTACGGCTTGATTCCCCTGCTAAACGGGACTCAGGTCGAGGATAAGGCATTGCGTCGTCAGATAAGTGCATCGGGAGACTGTTGGTCTGTTGAAAGAAAAAACACACGTTATTCATTGATACTTAAATTTACAAAACATAAAATTTAAGTATTAATTCAAAGACAGTGTTCTAATCAAATTTAAACATGAAACCTATGAAATGAATTTTGTGATTCAGTCGGAATAAGAAATTTAAACTATTCGAATGATTAATTATCCGTGGGACGATAAAAGCTACCCTTTAGAAAGTAATGAGACACGTGTTAATGGACACTTCGATTAAATGATAAATTTAATAAAAGAAATAAAAAAGCCGTTGTTAAATACATTTTGAAAATCTTTCAATGGTTCATATCGTATTCAGCTGTCATAAATATATCAAACTAATGCAGAAAGCAAAAACTGAAATTTTTTTTTCTCCCTTAATAAAATTCAGTTTATTATTTATTAGTAAAATGATGAATATACTAGCATAACACTCATGACGTTATTTTATTGCAGAATTTGAACCCTGGTACCCCAGAAACCGACTGTCTTTGATTTAAAATACGTTTTTTCTGAAAAATACGAATTTAGTTATGATGTTATCACCATTACTAATAGTCATATTTTTCAGAAAACGCTATTACACATTCTGATTAATAATTTAGTTATAGATCAAGTCTTAAAGTATAGTGCAAAGGTTTTCAAACTTTTCAGTCACGAACAACTTTTGAAATTGAAAATTCAACGTGAGCGCTACATATTTATATCTTAGTTATGGACTATATCCAGCAAATTTAATAACAAAATTAGCGTTAATGATGATTTCGTGGAGTAAAGCTGACAAACACTATATTTCACCATTTAAATGGATTTTTTGCATTTGAATTAACATACAAAAAAAAATTAATTTTCGGCAAAGATTGCAGATTTACAATTTCTTACTTTATTGTTTTGGCATTATTATATTTTTACTTTCGTGAAACTCAAATTTAATGAGGTTGTTTGGCTATGGGTTTATATTTGGTTGGCGATCGAATAGCGTTGTCGAGTGTTGCCTTTTAGCGAGATTTTTTATTCTTTGTTGACGAGAAACTGGCACATTAAATGCTGACTTTCTTTACATATAATCTATGTTTCCCTGATCAGTAATAAACAATTGATACTCGACTTATTTTTTTCATTTTAAATACAGCAAGCACGACGAAATCCAAAATTTCCTAGTAGAATATACCCAAAGATTTTTTCCAATTTTTTTCCTAAAGAAACTACTATTTTTAATTCTAAACATATATATTGCCTCAAGGAAGACTAGGAAATGTTTTGAGGAGTACTGAGTGCTCCGCAGAGTACAATTTAAAACTCTCTGGAGTAGTGATTTTTTTTTTTTTTTAAAGCCTTTGACAACTTCCACTCGCACCTTTTAAACATTACATTTACAAGATATTCTTTTCAACAATTTTGCCTTTTAAAACTAAAATAAATTGTTTATTCATTGTTACATATATTTTGCTTCAGGAGCACTGAGAATTGTTTTAAGGAGTACTGAGTGCTCCGCAGAGTACAATTTGAGAATCTCTGGTGTAGTGATTTTTTTTTTGTAAAAACTTTTGACAACTTCCAATCGCACCTTTTTAAACATTTCATTCACAAGATGTTCTTTTCAACAATTTTGCCTTTTAAAACTAAAATAAATTGAATGACGCAAAATCTGATTCTTAAAAATGGTCAACGCATCAGATTTTTCTTTAAGTTGCTGTAAGGGAAATTAACGATAATGGTTAGACCTGATCATTTTACTAATGGCGATAAAGGGGTCATGGGAAGTCGCTGATTGAACAAATTTTAAACGCTTGAGGTGCAAGGTCACTGTGAGAATAGTATCGATTTATTAAGTAATATAATATTTTTCTTAACTGAAACATTAAAAGTTTATAGGAAAGTATATTGCAATGATTGATAACGATATTAAATTCAACACTTAAGAAGCTTTTCCCTCTCAACCGAACTTAATTGTCGAAGGGGTGGAGACGGGGAGGGAAAATTCTAAATATTATTTTAATTCTTATTAAATTTTTGCAAATAAACTGATGATGGATATTTACTCTATTTGGCAATATCTTTCGAAACTTGTAAAATACAAGGCCGCTTCTCAATCAAATTGGAGAATCTTGCGGTATTTTTGATTCTGCATTAATTTTTCTGGCAAAATTTTGCCAATGCGATTCTGCAATCAACAGTTTAATAAGGAGTTATATAGTATACAGTTGCCTGTTTTTAGATATTTGATAAGTATCTTTGTTTTTATGCAATTAATGTTACAAGAATTTTGTCATCCAAATTTGCTTTTAGCAGTATAAACTGTATTAAAATTAGATTTAAAAAAAAATCTAAACACTGAGAAACGTGTAGTTTTAAATAACTTACTCAAAACCGCAAATTGCATCATTTTATTGCTCTAAAGTTTTGAGGAAAAATTTATAGTTCTAAAAATTATTAAGCGCTATTTATCCTAATCTATAACTAAGCAACCTCATTATTTTCGACTTTTATTGTACTGCAGAATTATACTACATCATCAAAAGTTGGATACGCACAAAAATATCAAGAAAACAAAAATTAAGAATTTAAGCTAAATCCAAAATGGCGAAGGAAGACGCTCTTAAAATTTTTTTAAGAATAAAATAGTTCAGACTTCAAAGATTTTGAAAGTTAGATTTTAAAGAAATTAGGGTACAAAGTTGGAACAGAAGTCCCAGTCGATCGCCAAAAAATTTATAAGGCACTGTAAAATATTCACTGTTAAAAATTCCGCATCAAATTAAGGTAAAAAGTACCGGCACTCAGAGTGCCAGCATTTTTTTTTTAAATCGTGAAATCCATTTTACCGTTTACAGAACAAAAAACTCTGATATACTGTAGTTCTTACAGTAATATTTACTGTAATATCACTGCAATTAAATAAATATTACTGTAAAAAATACGGTATAAAATCTTCCCTAAAAATGGTTTTTACGGATGATATACCTGGGATGAAACTTCTTTAAAGTGCATGATTAAGACTACATTTTAAAACAAAATTGTACTATTTGGCAAGAATAATTAGTTCTTATTCTTTAAATATAAAAGAATTTTAATATAATGTAAAAATGATGTAAAGATTTTATGTTAGGAATAAATATATTTCAAAGATTGTCAATGAAAACAAAAAATATAAATTTATCAATACTTATGATTAAAAACTATAATAATTGTATGGATTTTTGAAATTCATGATTAATCATAAATTAATCATTTTCAGCAAAAATACTATTGGATCAAATTCCTTATTTTGCGAATAAAGTTTATTGATTAGAAATATAAGTTTAGGAGTTGTGGTGGAGGGAAAAAATGATGCAGTGCGGCATAGGGTGATTTAGCGTATGGTATAATTGCTTACGCTAAGTTATCAAATAAAGTACATTAAAGGATAAAAATAAGTAAGCTCAAATGCAAAAAAAAAAAAAAAAAAANGCAAAAAAACAAAAAAAAAAAAAAAAAAAAAAAATGGAAAGAGTTACTAATTTACCTCTAAGAAAAAAGTCACAGTTTAGTTCAGTAGTGAGATTTTGAAAGAAAAAAATTAGTAGAATAAAATAATTTTCTAGAGTTAATAGAATAGTCCGTAACTGTTTAAATCTTACATTTACGCATTAATTTTAACCAAGATTCAATATATTAATTCTAACGATATTCAAAATTTGCTATAATGATCTTGCTTTATTTTTTAGAAGAAACTATAGGATAAAAATTTTTTTATTAGTAAGACTAGTAAAAATTGACTAGGATCTGCCAATATAAATACATAGTTCATTTACATTAATGTGACCACTACCTACTTATGACGTCAACGTGAAATAACAAATGACAGATGGCAGCACATTGCAGTGGAGCGGCGTATATAAAGGGTGTCCGAGTGAATCGGTAAACATTCAAATCAGTGGTGTGATTCAAAAATAGAACGATTTATTTGATGACCAAAAAGGCATGATGATTGCCTTTCGGATCAAGGGGGGAAGCATTTCTGAAACGGCCAATTTCTTAAACTGTTTGCCTGCCAACATGCCAAAAATATGGATGGAGTTTTCTAAGCTATGGTGCACTGCAAGCTCTTTACTGCCTATACATCCGGGTTACTGCTTCCGATGTATTTTGAACCCATTTGGCTCACAACGTGATCATTGTATTTTGAGACTCTCTTGAGTTGCATTTTTTGTATACGTATATTTGTTGCCAGATTTATTATTTGTATTTTAAAGAAGAAAATCGTTACGAGAATCGCCATTTCAAGACCTGTCATTTCTCGAGAACTCGAGATTGGTATTGTTTACATTTATATTAAAAACACCATCCGCATCGTGCATTGAAACAAAATGCCACTATCCAAAATCAACTTCGGGGCAAATGTGATTCACCACGGACCATGGATGACAGAAATTAACTACGGCTGCGGAGATGTATTCGGGCGAATAAACACGTAACTGTTGAAGAACTGACAGCTTAGATGAATCAATAGGCTACCAACAGTGTCTCCTATGTGACGGTTCAGCGAAGGCCTGGTTAATACACTTATACTGACTGCTGTTTATCGGCGACGAAGGCAGGGATTTGCATGCCAGTACCCCAACTAGATCTCCACAGAGTGGTGACAAATGACTTTTTCCGATGAATCACGTTTTATGCTCTATCGGATAGATGATTGTTGGCGTGTACGACGTGAAACGTCTGAAATCTAACATCTTGCAAAAAGGGCCGAAAGGATTCAATCTGAAGGAGGGAGCATTGTAGTCTGAGGAATGATTTGGTGGCATTTTCCAGGTGCACTATGCCCAGCCTTACATGCCATAATCCTGATGAAAAACAATTCGCATCTACCAGCATATCAATGTGACGTGTCATACAGCTCACAGTTTTCGTGCGAGGCTCGAAGAGCAACAGAATGGGCCACAAACTACTACTCGGACTTAAAACGATCGAGAATCGATGAGACCATCTTGATTGGGTTAGTCGCTCCATGAATCATCTGTCACGTAATCTAACCCAGCTGATCATGGTACTGGAGTCGACATGGCTCAACATTCTAGTAAACATCTTTAAGTATTCAATTGACTCTCTTTCTACACGTCTTGCAGTGGTCCTTCTGTGAACGGCGGTTATTCTGACTTTTGACAAGTAGTCACCTTAATGTGACTGAACTGTGTAGTTATCAATATAATAGTATATTTAGCAATATAAATATAATGTAATAGGAGTCAGATAATAATTATAACAGTAATAATTTTTTGTAGTTTTAAGCTTCATCGTATCACAGTTTATAATGTATCAAAAATGTACTTATGGAAACATTTTTTAAGCTAAAATAATTAACTTTTTGAGAGTGTGTTCACTGTTAACTAAGCACATATAGTTTGAAATAAATTTTAATTCAAAATAAGGCATACAGTTTTAAAAATAAGCAGTTAAAAATCCTAGAAAGATCCATATCGAATAATTTATTTCAAGGGTAAAAAATAAATAAGTAAACAATGAAAAAAAAATGTTCCTCCTATCTTAAGGCATAATTTTTTAAATCGAGTATTAGCCTTGTTGATTGAAGAGTTTACATGAATATCATAGAAGTTTCCATGATAAGAATGTTTGAGATCAAAAATATTTCCGGATAATTTATTTTGTCTCACTAAGTTTGTTATCAAATACAGAGCATCAGTTGAAGAGTAAACAAAAAATGTTCAAAGTAATAAAAAAAAATATTATTTGAAACTATGTTATCGTCCAAACATTTAATGAATTTCATTTAATCAATATTGCTTAGGATTTTTCCGAAAATACTCAACCGTTTCACTTTTCATTATATTTTGCCACTGTAATAGTGCAGTAAAATTGCAATATCGCGTTTTATTTCATTTTTAAAGAAATTGCATCAAAAATACAAACAAAGGCAATCTTAAATTTAATGACTACAAAACAACTTATACTTACAAATTCGACTATAATTCTATGTTAATTAAGTTATCTTTATTTATTGATTAAAGTTAGCTCAAGTATAAGTAATCTTAATTTTTCCATTAATTATAAATGACAGTTAAGACAACACTACTATTAATACTTAATGGTAAGTACAAAGAGAAATCACTTTCAGCTCAACAATTCTTAAAATGAAACTGTTCACTAACGTTGAATACTCAATCCATACTTTAATAATAATCCGATAGCCGATTCATATAGCTGTGCGTCTCTCTTTGTTCAAATTCATATCCTAGTGATTCTGAACCCAACCCATAAGACAAAAAAACTATTATATATTACTTATTAACTACTAACTAAGAAAACTATATTAAACTAACTAAACAAAGTCGTCTTTGGAGATAATTGCGACTAATTCTTCGCAAAAAACTTATTGAAGGAAAATGGTCGATATATATGTTACATGGTGAAGAAAACCTTTCACGGTTAGCCTGATTAAAAAGGGTCTTTAAACCGTAATCCGTTGATATCTGGAAATATCTTGACTGTGATCAATAAGAACCGATAGCAACATATGAATCAACAAGGATATCACAGGATTCTAACCCGGATCAACATAATGTTAAGACTTTCGTATGAAAAAAATGCTTTTTAATCAATGATGTTGTATTTATAATTGTAATAGTTAGTCACAGCTTTTAGGTTAAATATGGCTATCTTAAGCCTGTGTTCCAAATGCTAATAAAAAAGATGGCTCATAATGTGAATATCAAGAAAAGTCTCAGCTTTCGAAAAATGAAAAACGTACCGGATTTAGGTACTTCAGGAACTATTACATTGTAGGTATTTTCAGGTACTTCAACACTGCATTATTTGGTCTCATAAAATGTGCAAAATTAAGAATGACTTCTTGATTTTAATGATTTTCATCTATTAAGAGAAATTACGCAATATTGGAGCTATATTTAACGTATTTGTACCTTATAAAGTACAGTCAATTCTTTTTAACTAGATTCGATACCCCGTTTTTATCCCAAACGTGACGCATATTTATTTATTTGTCAAAAAATATTTTCCAAATTTGTATGTATTATAAAAATATAAAAATTTTATATATTTATAAAAAAAACTGTGCAAAATTAATAGCTCTAATTGTACCTTCGCCATGGAACTTACTTTTAACATACTTTTTAAATAAAAAAATTTATTTCAGTTTTCAAGGCTTAAATTGTGGCTTTTCTATTTCACTCGGCAAGTGAACATTGAAAATTTCCCTTAATTAAGAGCGATTAATAAACCCCATACAAACTTTAATCCACATAAGTTTTCCGTAAGAAAAAAAAATCAATTTTGTAGCAATGAAACGTTTGGAGCCTTTCTTTGTAATTAAATTGATTAAGAACCATTTTTTGCTCTTCATTTATCTGATTTTTAATTTTATTTAACCGTTTTACCACAATTTGATATCAAATAAATTTAAAACGGCGTTAGCATTAAAACTACCTCACTTGGACTGATGTTTATTTTCTTCTGTGCTCTTAAAATGATTTTTCGGTGTAAAGAGAGTATATTTACTTTTTATGATTTCAATATTTTTGTAAAATACTTTAAACAGATTAGAGTGAGAATAGAATAATACATTTATATGTATGGAAATGATAGGGGAATTTATACGTACCAGATTTGACGAGAAAAATAGGCGTATCTTTTACTCGACCACTAAAATAGACGACTGAGTCAAAGTGAGCTGAATATCATCTCTGGTAGATCATTGTCTGAAAAATAAAACAATTGTAAGTTTGAAGAATGCAGAAGAGTTCATATGAAAAAAGTACCAAGAAATTATTAACAAAATGTCTAAATGTGCACAAAATGCCTTGCTTAGAAGAATTTGTTTTATGTACTTGATAGAAAATAAAAATTTGAAGTATCTTTCATTAAATTATAATAAAGAATTCTCACTTTTCTTTAAAAAAAATTTAGAAGCTTTTGAATAATAAACTTCTAAATTATAGCTTGAATATTCCGTTCAGAAATCAGAAGTTTGAAAGAATATTTTATATTAGATGTTCTAAAACAAATCATTATTGCAGTAAATTAAATAGACAGAAAGATATAAAATGTTGGACAAAACTTTTATGGTATTTAAAGGTAATTTTTACGAATTTCACATTTTACTTACAGAAAGGAGTACTGATTAAAATTGGAGAACCTGGAAAAATCGTGACTGCTTTGCTTCGCATATTTCGTTCTTTTGACTTGCATTGTTGATAGAAACAAGATCTTGTTTACATATGAAACACTCATTCTGATTTCCAGCTCTAATTCTTAGAAAACAGAGAGCGCAAACTTAAAAAGGATGAAGGAAGAGTAGCGTGTTATTTTCGACGGTTCCTTTTTTGAAATTTTAGCTTGCATTTAGTGAATTACAACTTTTTCTCAAAAATGAAGGGGTCTTTTCGGACAAAAATACTTGCAAAGCGGAGGATTGTAGAAGGCCTTCGTGACTTCGAAGAAATTCATCATATTGCCAGTGTGATTCACAGCTTCAGTAAATAAGCAAAGCATTAATATTGAAATTGCGACTAAAATACTTTAATATCTATGCCTATTTTGTGGAAGAGTTGGATTTTCTTTAATATCTTTGATTTTTCCCAATCATTTTATACTTTCAGAATGATTTATGCCGATACAAAAATTTGAAAGACAGATCACAGAGCTCGCTATTTTTGTAAGATTAAGCGCATTTAAAGGAACAATACACCATTTTAAATCTGGGTCTTGCAATTTTTAGGATTAAATTAAGAATTGATGGAGTACTGATTAAGACAAATTAAATTCAATTAAATGAATTAACACAGAATTCTAATTATCAGAACTCACTACAATGAGGATATAAATACGTATAAAAGACATATAGTAATAAATAGATCTAATATTTTTTTATAATAACAAACTAGAATACTGCACAGACAAAATGTTTTTCTTTCTATGAAATTATAACTTAAGAGTAGTTTGTAAGTTGAGCAAAGCTGGAAAGTAAAGAATAGTATAAAGTAGATTACTTTTCTATTGGCGACTGATATTTGGGGTACTTTTCCCCTTAATTTTTTAAAAGTTGCTCAATCTTTTATTAGTGAATTTCTTATTGATGATCAATCTAACCAATAGAGATAATTCCGATTCGAGATACAGGCGCTTAGAAGAAGATGTCTTGTTTTTATCCTTATAGAAAAAAGTCATTGTTGTATTTAATAAAATAATAAAATATTCTTATCAAGCATCAATAGTCTGAGCGCGTAGTAGTATGACAATACTAGACATGGCATAGTATTTGCTTAATCTAACCGATATATATATATATATATATATATATATATATATATATATATAGATATATATATATATATATATATATATATATATATATATATATATATATATATATATATATATATATATNGTAAAATAAAATAAGAACCCACTACTTTATGCATGAAACAAAAATGTTCGGATGTACTGTTCTCATTATTCTGAATAAATGTTCTAGCAAGCACGGCTGTAAGAAACAATTTATTACACTCTAAGAAAAATCGATTCAAGGTTAAAATATGTAATAGCAGAAAACTTAATAAGTTGTTCAGCTTAAAGATACTTTAGATTATATTGAACCCTATCATTGTACAGTTTACATCATAGTCAACGTTTGAAGGATTAATATTTGCATTGAGATATGATTATTTATTTTTTCGAAAGAAATATGTATTTTAGTTTAAAAAAAGAAAAAAAAAAGGAAAACGATCCTTTTGTCAAACTACAAATATTTTAAAACTTTTATATAGACAATTATATTTTATGACTAATATATGTAATAATTTTCCTAATATGGTGGGAGCGTAAATATAATATAAAAAATTATTATTATTATTATTTTTGGATTCGTATAAAATTTAAAACCTTATTTATTCTTTATAACACTTTTGTTGTAACAAAAGCTATCGACTTTTTTTTATCATTCATTAAAACATTTCTTTAACATCTCGTATATAACAGATTTATAATTCAAATAACTATTTAAAAAATATGATTTGCTTAAAATATTGTTCATTATGCTCTACATTTTTTTAAAAATAATTACAATAACATTTGTCAGAAGCCAAAAAGAATTGTAAACAATTAGCCTCATTAATTCAAATGTCAACAGGGATAAAGAGTCATTAATAAAGTTTTTTTTTTGCTTTTAATTTTTTGCTATTGTTTTTATTGTTTTATTTGTTGTCAAACAAAATATTATTGACAATAATTATTTAAAAGCTCTTGAATTTTGAAAAAAAAAAAGATTGTTTTTCAAAAAGAGTTGCGATGTTTGCAAATCAAATGCCAATTATTTCTTTTTATAACAATGAATATCGATCAATAATTAAAATTTATAGTATACTTAATTTTTTACCTTTATCTGATTAAATTTTAATATAAAAATTTAGATAAAATTTTACGCACAAACTATTAGACAGGTTTTTATAAGAAAAACAAATTGAAAATCATGTATGCAACTTTGTTTTTTAACAAAATTATACCGCTGATGAAAAAATACTGTCGGCATTTTGGTTGAACCAATAACAATTTATTTTATCATTTCATTTCAATTCGAAGATTAATATTAAAAAAATATTCTTCAGAAATATTTAATGCTCGTCTATCAAATGCGTATTGAAGATTATATAATACATCAAATACATATTTTTATGAATTTATTTCAGATCAAATAAAATTTGTTTGCTTACTTAGCAAAAATATTTTCGTTTATTATGAAAAACGCTGCAATTCTTCAATTACACTGCGTTATAAAACAGAATATTGATTTAATATTTAAAAATGATATCATAAAAACATATTTCCTCATTCAAATTAGGCAAAAATATACGTAAAACTTTTAGCTTTCATTTAACGATTATACTAAAAGTATTTACGTTCGCTTAAGAAAAAAAATGAACCTGATTATAGTATTTTTTTAAAAGCAGAATAATTTACCATTTTAGAAAATTTTTATCTATGTAATGTTTGCTAATCTAGACCTTAAATTATTATTTTTTAAATTTGTATATATATCAGAAAATTGTTGGAAGGCAAGGTACTAAAAATACTAATCTAAATATTTAAATATATTACAAGGTTTAAAACAGGAAAATAAGAACAAATTTTTGAAGTTTCTGGCAAATACTCAGGTTAGCCTGAAACAGAAATTATTTGAATAACTGATGCTTTATCTTTAGAGTTATAGATGGTTAAGATTTATTGTAAGAGATGCTTAAGATCTGTTAAAGAAAATACGAAAGAAACTAAATACTTTTAAAGGCTTTTTACAAAATGTTAGACTTCTCGATTTGATTCTTTCTAATTACAAACTATACTTTAAGGTTTCTTTTATATTGCTTGTTTTGTTGAAAGTTTGAAGCCCTATTAAACTGACATTTCTCAGTGTTTACGCAATCCCGATAAAAAATACTTAAGGAAAAAAGCTTAATTCATTTTGTTAATAATTTATGGTGATTTTAAATATTTTATGAACGATTTATTATAATTATAAAAGTCTAACACAGTTAAATAGATTAAATACGAAATTCTTCAAGCGAACCATACCGAAGATAACATATTTTAGTTTTTTGTACTTAACTAGCTGAATGTTCAGTGTGAAAAGTAATTAGTGAGTGTTTTAAATTGGCAAATTGCTTAGAATGATGTACTGTGCATGAAAAATAAATAAATGGAACACCTTGAACAATTTTTAATCGAATTATCGGATTTTTATGTACTGAGATTCAATTTTATTGGTGTGACCTCAAACATGCTAATTAATTAACTCCGACGATATTTTAGGTTGCGAAATCCGGCACAAAAACGTACTTTCTCTGAATAAACATACCTTATATTCGGCGGTTTCAGATTTCTGACCCTTAAAATCTGGAAAATATGGTCCCAATCGGATCCCAATCAGAAGAGCTGTCGAAAGGTAATTTCAATTTTAATTTTCAAATATTGCCTTATATTTTGAGTATATTTTAAGTGAATCAAAAATTTTCTACACACAATTATGAAATTAGCTTATCTAAAGAAAATTTCGTGCAAATTTTTTTAAAATTTACTATGTTTTATTTTGTTTAGTAAAAATCGAAAAAGTTTGAATTGTGAGAACTTGTGTGAAATGTTTGAGTTTAAGATTTTCAAGAATCGAATTTTAAATATACGACTTCCTTAAAATTAATGATTTTTTGTACTTTTAATGTGAAATTTAAGTCATGAATTTTTTCGAATGCAAACGAGTCTTTGAAAGTGATCCAAATCTAAGACTTGAATTTTTGAAATTTTAGTTATATTAAAAATCAGGAGTTATTTTGGGAAATATCATGTTTGTGAAAGAGCACAAAAACTAACAGTCTCCAGAGGCTTTTGTGAATTTGTGAACAAACTTATCATAGTCAGAACCTAAAATTACAATGTTCTGTTTCTCTGGAAGAAAAGCACAAAATGCATCTTTTCCTTGGAGCTGTTTTAAAATAATGATCTAAAGATTCCTTCGACTCCGTTTTCCAAAAGAAGAATTTAATGAAGGATCTTTTTTTTGAATCAAAAATATAGTAAATGATCCGTTTTTAAGACAATATGTTTTGTGAAGGGTTCTGTTTTTAAAGATAAGATAATCTTTAGAGAGTCCATTAACGGACCTTAAGTTCTTCTAAAATGATTTCTTAACTCGTATTGTTTAATGCAAAATGTA